GCAGTTAATGCTCAAAGCACAACATGATTGCAAAGAGTGGATCTTCTTTATGGAACAAAGTCCCGTGCAAGTCTATGACGATCGAGTTTAACTACAGTAAGGCAGCCAATGTTTGGAGCACAACAAAGTCAGAAGGATTAGTTTATGAGCAGTTCACATTAAATGACGATCTTGTCAAATTATGGTATATTATGTAAAGTATTATGTAATTTAAATAAAGTCTCTCATACATTTTAATACTGTCTTGTATGTTTGTTTTTGTGAGAGTGAATCCTGAAAAATATGCAAATTAGTATGCAAATTAGCATGCAAATTAGACCGCCATGCTTGCCTCTGAGCCTGGGGAGAACACTGTATGCTCAATGTGAACATTTTTTTCGATCTCCATTTCAATTGTCAAGGCTTTAGTGATGATGAAATATGATGACGTCATGAACGAGGCGAGCCTGTGTCAATGTATATGAATATTCAAAAGTAGGCGTCAAAACAGAGCTGACTGGTAACATTGTAGTATGCACGTTGCTGGGCTCACCGTAGACTGAAAATGTGCAAATAACTGAAAAGGCCCCCTAACGATTCAATAAAATGAAACTTCCCAAATTGAAAATAGGATTTTGATTTTCATCGTTCATTTCAAAATACTATTGATGAAAAGTAAATGTCGCCACCACAGGTATAACTTCGAAAATCACAGCTAAAATCTAAATTGTGATTACGTACCGCAAATTATTCATAAATTTAAATTACGTCAAAAACCAAAATGTCTGATTCCAGAAAACATTAGAAATTCACTTGGCCGTCATTAGCCACAGACCGAGCAAGCACATTTTGTGATTAGCTAAGATGCGTTTCGATTTGGTCAAAACTATCCCACTATCCCACTGTGATTTGGAATTGCAACTATTGTGCAATCATATAATTTACTGACATCACCGTTGTAACCCATTGGGCGATTTCACGGTTGGTGGGCCCTTATTTGGGGTTCAAAATTTCAAAAAATGATCATCAAATATTTTTGGGACAGGGATCTCGCCACACTGGTCGGCAGTGGTCAGCCCCAACCAGCACTCAAAATTAGCGACCACCACAGAAATGCTTCCAACCAGGACTATTGTCCGATTGTTATTATAATTATGTACCGACCGACCGACACGCATCCAGTCGTGGATTATAATTTGTAATAGACCTAGTTGCACGATACGTAGTGGCTAGTCAATTTTGTGAATTTGCACCTCAGTAAATACTTTCTGCGATAGACATAGTCTTTAGATTCAAAGCTAAAATTCTTTCAAAATCAATTTCACCTCGATATACATGTACATTGTAACATGGTCAAAGCGAAGTTCACGATCAGTTTACGCTACTCAAGAAAAAAATCAACGTGTTTATTGCGTGATTTGGTAAAATACATTTGAACTGTTATCATTGAGATTCATGTAAAAACTCTTCTTTCAAGACCTATTTTACCTTTTAAAAATTGCTAATCATCTCTTTCGATAACCATCGTGCAGTTTTCAACTGAAATCGACATCAACACATCGTGCTACGACATCGCTTTACTTCCGCAATGTAATTTTTATGATCACTACCATTCGGAAAACCTCGGATTCTACCGGCATTACCATTCGGCATTCTGATTGGTTAATGGAATTATTGACCCATCGGGTCAAAGAACACATGACAGTCAACTAATACGTCACAAACATCATGATGGGCTGTGTTTTTTACCAAAGCGTTCGAGTGATCAAAAATATCCACTTCCGATAAAACCAAGTCAAACTTTACTTTTATTTCTTATCAAAAAAACGAAGTAACATTTTTTGCTTGGCATCATGACTGAGTAAGAGGAAATTTATTGCATCTTTAGAAATATTTGTCCATTGGTTGACAGCAATAAAATGTTAGTAATAAAAAATACAATACCCTATGCATATATGTAATTGTTCATAAACACTACGTCAGTATCGTAACTTGCACCATATTGATTTGTTAGTAGAATGTGATGGTAATGAATGTGAACACAAAACACACGTGTGGTGCAATGACCACATACATTTTGTTGCGAATTTGACTATTTATTTATAAATTTGTAGTGAACAAAAAAAAATAAAAGTTTACTCTTAAAAGTGATCTGCCTGGGCTATCCAATGTTTAGAACATCTCATATTATAAATATTTTAAATTAACATATACTACATGGATGACTGCGAGTGAATAGAGAACTTGTGTATCAGTTTAATAGTAATAATTTTCAGTACCCATACTGCATACTCACAATAAACTGCATACTTCATTAAGGAATTTAACAGTGGGGGGCTGGATGGTTATTCATGGATAATTGAATAATTTAGAATATACTGCATCCTCTAATGATATAGTTGCAATGATGCAGTCTTCCCATGATACAAACAGGATGGTGGTATGGCCGTGCTGCTCTATAAGGCCACCATGCTCAAAATCATTACCACCTACTCAATTTCTTCTTATTTTTACCTTGCCTGTATCATCAAGATGGAAGGGAAAGGTACATGTATATTAAGGGGAAACATCTCGCTGTCGTTGTCGTCGTCATTAAAAGTTGTTGTTGTACATGTACATGTATGCACAATAACATTACTAATTCTTTTTCAAACTTTATCAAACTTGGTCACCTAATTCATCAGTATAAAATTTTAATTTTAGAGCCAACAGATAAAATTTGTGTCCATTTTCAGTTTTTACTCAATAAATTTGGCTATTTTTGTCCCAATCTTCTGAAGGAAAGTACAGACTATAAACAGGACTATTTTGTGAATTTTTGATGAAAAGCGGGAACTGGTATAAAAATGTTAATATTTTTTTTTTTTTTCAGTTAACATAAAATGGGG